GCAGGGAGGGAGATGTGTAACAGCGTCTTCATGTGTTTGCAAAATGACTGCAGGGAAAGGGGAGGTGCTATTTAAGATGGCCCAGAGCGCTGTATCAAAGAGAAATGAGGTGAAATTGAGGGAGGAAAAGGGCAGGCTCTTTAGGAGAGCAGGTTTTAGAGGAAAGATGTAGTAAGTGGAACAGCACAGGTTCCCAGGGAGGGGGTAGCAGTGCCCAAACAGCGTGCTGTGGGGGTGCCCAGTCCTGGGCAGCGCTCTTAACAACTGCTGGATTTAGCAGCCTCTCCTGAAGGACTCCACACAGTGTTTCATCCTTGAGATTGAGCTCCAGAGTTTTTGATCTTCATGGAATGGGACCGTGTCTGCAGAGGAGCGCAGCCAGGTCTGCAGCACAGGGCAGCTCTGCACATGAGAGGCAGGGGTAGGGGTGTCTTCTCCAGCTGAAAAGTGACCTTGGCTCTCTCAAATGTGATATTTCTTGCTGTAACCTTGATCTGCCCTTCCAGTGTACATATACTGGGGCAGCAAATGGTTGCTTGCTATGGGATGTTTACCCGTAGAGAGCTGCCATGCCTGAGATATGTATTTGAAGGACAGGGGGCAGATTGCCCAGAGAGGGTGTGGAGTCTCCTTCGCTGGAGATATTCAAAAGCCATCTGGATGTGATCCTGGGAAATATGCTCTAGAGGACCCTGCTTGAGTAGGGAGGTTGGACTAGATGATCTCTAGAGGTCCCTTCCAACCTCAACCATTCTGTGATTCTGTAACAGTCCCTTTCAAGAACATTTGATGGAGCTGGCAGTCTCTAGGACTGGTTCAGTCACTGCAGACATGTTTATGCCTTTGGCAGGAGTGAAGGAAAAGCAGGGAGATTTTATTGCTTGTCAAGAGTTTCCCCCTCAAGCTATTACTCACACCACACTGGATGAATATTCAGTAGGAACTTTCTCAAGCTCTAATTAACAGCAATCATAAGGGCTCTCAGGGACTCACCAGCTTAGTGAACGTGGTCACATCTCCCTCTTTCGGCTGCTACAGGACACTAACAGCCTGGAGTCAGGAAAATTTATTTTTTCTGCTTAGTGGTCTGTCCTTGCTATTATTTAGCTATGGGGACTGTGTATATTTCTGTGGATGGATTATCAATGTGATCGGAAGTGTAACAGCATAGCCCTGAAGAATTGTTCCCAGAGGAGAAGGTTAGTGGTGATTGTGGGTTTTTTGTGCATGCCACAGACGTTTGGATAGAGGGAAAGAATGGCTTTTACAAAGATGGATTAGAGTCAGCACTAGGTACATGCGATATATTGCTTCCTGGGTCCTTGCTTGAAAACAATGAAGCAGCTTACGTAAGCCAGCCAAGCCCGAGGATCTCCACCACAGCTGCTGTGTGGGTAGCAACTCTTCCTTCTCCCCCCAGCCCTCCAAACACACACACTTTGTCAATAGAAATCTGCTGGTGACTGGTACCCATTAGTCTGTGTTTGAACACGATTTGCTGCATTTTGGGCACTACTGGAATGTAAATGAAAATATATGCCATACCCTGAACAGCACAACCAGGGAAACCCTGATTTCTGTGTGAATTCATGCCCTATTTCGCTTAGCCTTTGGGCTCCATCATACCTAGAGTAACCCCAGCTGCTCCCATGTCCCATCAGGCGCGCTGCTTTCTCCTAATTCCTGCCGCCCCCCCGCCCCTGCCGGGGCCCCGCCCCCCCTGGACGGGCAGAAGCCAGCGTGTCCCCTTCTCCCTCTCCCCCGGCCAGCTGCTGCTTTGCAAGGCGCTCCCAGCAGCACGAGGCCGAGATCCACCGTGGCCCGCTTCAGCGCTGCGTACCCATGCTGTGCGTGCCCGCGCTGGCGAGCTGGGCACCCCTCGCCACCCTTGGCTCTGCGCAGGCGAGCCCCTCGGGCGGTGGAGTGCTGCACACCAGCTACTGTCTGCTGTGGTTGCGCTGCTCCACCTCTCACAAGAGACAGTGTGAAACACAGCTCTGTAATTCCTATTCCCTTGCAGTTACATGGCAAATGCTGTAGCAGAAATTTGCGGCGTTGCCTTGCCCTCAGCCCCCCACCTGCAGCTTTACTGACGCTGGCAGCTTATATGTTAACAGAAGAAGCAAGCATATGACGTGGGCAAGAAACTGCTCCCTCAGGGACTATGTGTGCAAAGACTTTGTTTCAATAGGCTGTGCTCAGCACAGTATTGCTCCAATAGGATGTGGGCTGTATCTCACGTCCCCTAACTGTGTAGCTGCAACCAAAAGATTGTATTAGTGCATTGCTTGAGCCAGGCTACCACCTCTTTTTCCAGGGGTGTCAGTTTTGTTTTCTATCAGAGAACCTGATGCATTGCTTCAGCTCCGAGGTGGCTATCGCCCGCAGGAAAAACACAGCCATTTCCTTGCTGGTGCCCTAGGCAGCCTTTTCCCAGATGGTGTACGTGTGAATCCGGGACCCAGCGCCTTCAGGGTGTGCATCCCTCTGCCCCCAAGCCCCCTTCCCGATCCTGCCGGCGGCCGTCGTGTTTGCTTTGAATTGTACCGGGTGCCCAGAAGGGCTTCGCCTGCCTCCTCCCCACGGCCTGGCGGGGACCCAGCGGAGGTGGGAGCAGCAGGACGCGGGAGGCCTTGGGGGATGAGGCGGGTTTAGGTGAGCGTGTTCGTTAGCTGGGACTGCTCAGCTCCGCCAGAGCATCAGCAGGAGGGATCAGCCCCCGGCCCCGCTGCTGTTCTTTTCCCAAGACGTTCCCAGGCCGAAGCGTTAGAGCGGAAGTTACCAAATAGGTCTCCAGGGGTGTAAAGTGCTAATTTAAACTGCATTTATTTTTAAATGGATTGAGTAAATTTGAAGCTAGGGTTGTAAGATATACAAACCTCAAGAAATCAACATAAGGACATGAACAGGAAACCTGGCTAGCCACACTCACAACGGCAAGGATCGCTGTAAACCTGCCCCTACTTAGTAGACACCATCCTGCCCTAATGTTCAATTATCGCACCCTCCCTTACAACCGCAGAGCCGCTGCCTGTGTGCAGAGCACCCCGTGCGCTCATCAGATGCTGGAGCCTGGAGTTTCCTGTCCCGTGCGGCTTAGTGCGCTCGACTGTCCGGGTGTTGCCTTGCAGCCCGTCAGAAAACATCCTCAGTTCCTCTCAGTCCTCTTCTCCCCAGGCGTTTGGCACTGAGATGCCGTTATTTGTGTTTGGTTACAGGGTCCCTGCCCTCTCGGTGCCCTCCTCACGTGGCTCTCCACGACCTTGCCCCTCCGTACAGCACGTTGCCTTCCCCCATCGCTCCCCGCTAGGGCTGGGGAGCCCGTCATGCAAACCTGCCTGGTGGGCAAGGGGCCACTCGGTTCTGGTCACACAGAAGATAAATTTTGTTTTTTCATTTCTATAGACATGAGACCTCTAAGAGGCCTCTAAAAAAAATTGAGAGGCAGAAAAGGGAGCTGCTGAGTGGGATGTTATCAGTCAGGCCCGGCAGGCGGGGAGCCGCCAGCGTGGCTTGGCCCTCGTCGGCCCAGGTTGGCAACGTGGCAGGAGGAAACATCTGGGCCTGCATCCGGTGACGTGGCCCAAGG